AGCAAAGGGTCTGAATATTTAGGACCATGTGATATTTCAGTTTTTCTTTTTTAATAAATCTGCAAAAATGTCAACAATTCTGTGTTTTTCTGTCAATATGGGGTGCTGTGTGTACATTAATGAGGAAAAAAAATTAACTTAAATGATTTTAGCAAATGGCTGCAATATAACAAAGAGTGAAAAATTTAAGGGGGTCTGAATACTTTCCGTACCCACTGTATATATATATATATATATATATATATTATACTAACAGAACCAAACATGTATAACTCAGCTTAAACTGTTTTAAGAGTTTTTGTTGCATTTACACAGTTTTGACCAGCAGCCATCACCAGCGCGTTGTGTTTCACACACTTTGAAGCAGTGAATCTCCTTACCTCTTATCCTTGCTTGTCTCTTCTCTCCACCTTTAAATCCTAAATGAGAATCCATCCTACACATTTGCAAATCATTCAATGTATCGACCAACAAAGTGTAGACGTGATTTAAATAAAAGTTTTTAATCAACTTAATTTACTATTGATCACAATAAAATTGTACATAAAAATTAATGATTCCTGAAACTGAATTTTGAGACATGCAAACTGATTTCTGTAAAAAAAAAAAAAACCTTGCTTGTAAGTGCAAGTAACAATGCAGAGGCAGTGTTATTTAGGTAGAAATTATATATACTTTTATATTTTCTGTTAAAATTGTATACAATATTTATATTGATATTTTTATATTTTAATGTTATTTTTGTTTTCTTTGCACACAAAAAGTATTCTCTCAGCTTTGTGAAATTACGGTTGAACACTGATGTCTACTACATTTCTGGGCACGTTTCAGTTGCATTGCTGTCTACGCAGGTTCAGAGAGCTCTCAGATTTCATCAAAAATATATTTTAGTTATATAATAGGGGTGTGAACCTACACTGGCCTCACGGTTCGGTTCAATTACGATTATCATGTCATCAATTAGGTTCAATTCTATATCACCACTGCATCCTCAATTTTCAATTTGACTTCATATGCATACAATTTTGTCAATAAATACAGTGGTTTCTCAAGTTAGTGGTATTACCCCCTGCATATTTTACTGTGCATGACATAATTTACACACAGCGTGTGTCTTCTCCAGGTTGTGCTTACCAGGTTGTTCATGAAAGTTGAAATGTGCCCAGATGTCGGCTTTTAAAGTAGTTGGAGCATGTTTTATTACTCGAACTCGCCTCCCTCCGCCATTAGTTGCGTTCGATTTGAAGCGGTGCTGCGCAGAATGATCAGTGTATGATATCAACCGTGAGAGTGATTCGAAAGCATAAGGAACCATCTGCTCTCTTATCGCTCTTGCGGTACTTGATGTTATACACTGATCATTCTGCACAGCGCCGCTTCAAGCCGAACACACCTAATGTATGCTACCACGACAAATGACGTCAGAAAAGCGTCAGTATGTTATAATCGTTATGGTCTATTACTGAACCGATACCGAATTCTCCTCATCTGCATCGCGATGCATTGTAGCAACGATTAATCTCGACACCCCTATCATATAATGGGAGATTTTGCAAGAATGCACAACTCTGAGATGTCACGATGAATGATGTAAATGACAGCTTGTGTGAGCAATACTGTAAGAATCCACCCGCCAGCCCAAAAAGCAGAATCCAGCAGCCTGGTCGAAGGTATAATGCATATTCGGTCTTTTACTTGCTCTTCTGAATTTATCAGGATTTAGGTACATTTTTAGTCTAGCTCTGTGTTCAATCTGACTCTAGTTTCACGTGATCAGTTTTTAATTAGAAATATTGCTTAGAAATATTGCCTAAACTTAATGATCATAAATATTAATTTAGATATTTGATTATTCCGGACTCAATATTTTCAATTATCCGTTCACTGGGGACCTAATGTCTCTTTTAAGTCTCACGTTGGCCTTACGTGGATCTTACGATCACAAATTCGCCAGTCTGATGTTAGTCAGAGGGTGTAGGTAGACTAATAGCTGTTTTGCCTGCCACCTACTGCTTGCTTATTACAAAAAGTGTAATTCACTTAGTCCTTTCCTGTACAACTTGCTAACCTCAGCGATAGACAGAAATCAGAAGGTCTCCGATGACGTGCCTACTGCTTCTACAATTCATGAGCCTTCAGTTTGAACTATCCTGGCCGTAGATTTGCGGTAACAAAAGCCTCCTCACAGTTTACTAGTCATAATGATTTCAAGAAAAGTTCAGAATAAATCAAATATAACAATTTATTTTTTATCAGGTAACTATGTATCATGCCAATTACATAATCAATTCAAAGATATCAAAACAATACAAGACATCAAATTCTCAAATATAAATCTAAGAGCAAAGGATGCATACCTGACTTCGGGAAAATACACAGTATAAAGTGTGTGGACACATTCCATACTACGGGCTTTCTGGCTACAGAATTGCCATGACTGATTTGCAACTTTTCCTTAAATACTACCAGAACAAAAACAAAGAAATCTTTACATCAGTTGTAAAAACATAAAAAAACTTTTGGTACAGTATTTTAGGTTCCTGTGCTCCAGGGTTGCACCTGGCTGGAGATAGATAAACATTCCAACAGGCTTAAAGGGGGACACATCCCCTCCTCAGCAGAACATAATTCTACAAAGGTTTTGAATCCTTCTCATAATATAAATGACTACTGTGAAATTCACAAATAATTTATTTCATAAGGATACAATATTTACTCGCTTTCACTGTATAATTGATTCACAATTGTAATAAGTTTTTTTTGTCACGATTGCTACTAAGAGAACCACCAGCCACAATTTTGAGTCACAACCACATTTAAATTAAGCAGTGAATGCAGAGAGTGTCATCACCACCAATCAGTGACCAGTCTCCCCAAGTACAGACCAACATAACTTAAATATTGTTTTATAAAAGCTTGCAGGATGATAAGAGAAGTATATCTGAAAAACTAAATATGAGGGAAAAAACACACTGTAAAATCCAACAGTTATTCTAACAAACACTTCAGCGCTAATGCAGAGAAAACACTCCTGGTTTCATCAGAGATTGCGGAGAGAATAATGACTTACAGCCAGATCAGTAAATTATTATTTTCAGCGTGTATTTGGCTTAAAGGCAAGAGTGTTTTATAATGGATGCTGGCTGATGGTGTTTTATATTATGCAGTGGTCAGAGGTTTAGTGATTCTGATTCTGGTGAAGGAACATGCCACCACACCTGAAACACAAAGAATCCTGTATGCACAAGTACTGTGAACAATTGGTTAAACCATTAGGTATTTTCGGTACTTACCAACACTAAACTGAAAGTGAAAGAATGTGCTGACATATAGTTTTATAGTTTTATAGTATTGCTCAGTAAGTCTGTTTTGTCTAATTATACATTAGATTGTTACTTTATTTTTTATTAATTTTTTTTTATTGCATTTTGTGTGGAGTTTGCATTGGAAATTGTTTTGGTGGGTATAATGAAAGTTGTATGCATACAATAAAGACATTCAATTCAATAAAATATTTCTTCAAATCACATGACAAAGACGATTAATATTGAGGGAAATTCCAGAGCATGAGAGACTTCCTCTTCTTATCAATATATAATACAACTCCCTTGAGACTTGAGGTGAATCAAGAAGAGCTTTGCTGTGACAACTCCACATAAATATGGTCACACATGGTGTGAGTATTATAATTAATATACTTAAGTATTGTAGTATTAAATTGTTCTCTTAGAGAGAAAAAAAGTCTAAGTAAAGTGCATTGAGAACAAACAAAACATGTTAGACTTTATGTAGAATAGGCTATTAGTGTAGTTACTGGGATGATCTTTATTTATTTTTATTTTGTTTTATGTATGTTAGTTCAGCAGAAGTTTATTTTACTCTATGTGAATTTTTAAACCACAGACAGAGATGCTGCATTGAGAAAAATATCAAGACTCAATTAACTGTGTTTAAAAAAAAACAGAATCGTCAAGATAGTTACTGGCTATTTGTTGAGGGAGAATGGTTAAACATAACACTAGGAAGGCTATTACAGTTATATATATTTTTACATACTCAAAAGCAGCAACAAAGTTTCACTGTTTCTATGCGACTGGTTTACTTCCGTGATCAACACAGGCTGAATTTGTCGTTTGTAATAGCCCTATGGCTTGATTCATGGACTGTGCTACTGTATAGATAATTGTATCAAGTCAAAACAACAGTATTAGATTCGGTATAGAACTTGCTCAAACAACATCTTGTTTAGATTTCCATGTGTACACTATTGTCGCAAACCACAGTCATCCATGACGAGGACCTGGAACATGACCAAAACAATATTCTTCTGTGGGAACCGTGCATTTTTTATTATTAACTGGTAGAGGGACATAGTGTAGCTTTAAAAATATGATTATTATACTATTAAGCAAAATTAAATGTATACATTTTGAACTGCATTTCCAGAGTTTTGAAAATGGAAGCATCAGGAAAACTGCTGTCATCACGACTGCTTTCCCTGCTGAAGAACGGACAATGGGCAAAAGATGATGTTGTTAAGTTGTTTAAAGCCCTCGTGAAAGAATTTAATGGCAGAAATGTAGATTTTCACACATGGATGATGAGAATCCTTCATCAAGTGGAGATTCACAAAATCCAAGTGTCAGATTTGACTTTGCAAAATGGTGATAAGATTGTGGAACATGTTGAGGTTAAAATTAATAAAATAGCCAAAAACACTGATGAGAAAACACTGGATGAGATTATGGATGAAATTCGTAAACAAGGAAATACTGATGAAGAAATTATGGCACAAGTGAAAGATATTGTGTCCTCTGTGTCTGAATGTCTAAAAGATACAACACCACCACATCTAGAAGGAATAAAGCAAAAGTTATTCAAGATCTGCAAAGCAGTGCAAAATAAAAGCAAGAACAGAATAACACCTCGTCTGACTCAGATGGTGAGCTGGTGCATTCTGGTTCTTTCTAAATCAAGTCGGCTGGTTCAGGTTGGAACAGGAGAAGGAAAGTCGTGTATCGTGGCAATGTTTGCAGCATATCAGGTCATGGTGGGAAACACCCCTGATATCATCTCCAGTTCTCCTGTACTCGCTGAAAGAGACGCTGAAGAATGGTTTGACTTTTACAAGGAACTGAATATCACTGTTGACGTCAACAGCAACAAAACCAAAGACAAAGAGCTGAAGAAGTGCTATGAATGTCAGGTGGTCTACGGTACGACTGACCGTTTTGCAGCTGATTTTCTGAGACAGCGCTTCCACAGAAGAGATGTGAGACCTAACAGAGAGTTTCAGTGTGTTATAGTGGATGAGGTGGACTCGCTAATGCAGGACAAAGGTCTTGAAGTGGTCTACCTGAATAGTAATATGCCTCTCATGGAACCATTGAATGGATTACTGGCTGAAATTTGGTTTGTCATCAACCAGCTGAAGCGTTTAGACTCTGGAGAGATTTTAGGGCACATTCAGCTCTTCTCTGAGGTTCTGTCTGAAATCATGCATGAAAACAAAAACATTGATCATCTCAGTGTTGGGCAGACAGCTGTGGACGCAGGAATTATGCCTATGAAATCTTCAAGACAAAACAAAACAAATGTTTTAAAACAACTAGATAATGCAAGTGTTGTGCAAATGGTGGCTTTTTTAACCATGTTCGTGGGGAATTACCCTGAGTATTTCTTCAAATTATACCAGGAAAATTCTGATGGGTCTTTAAGGAAACTGAATGAAATCAGTCCTGCAGGTAAAAATAAGAGACAAGAAATATCAGTTCTTCTTCTGGGAAATGGAAAATGTCGTGTTATGCACTTTGAGGAGGACTCGGTAGTTACATCAATGGGGAAAAGGATTAAAATGTCTGAATCAGTAAAGGTACAAAATTAATCTAATATCCCAGGGCTTCAAGACCTCATTAATGACAAGGCACAAACTTGGATTGAAAATGCTCTGGAAGCCACCAAAATGACTCTGGGCAATGAATACGTCCTTCATGGAGATGGAGTCCCTCCTGTTGACTACAAATGCACTGGTGTTGTACAAAACAACATGAGATGGGGGGAAGGACTTCAGCAGTTTCTGGAGATGAAACACCAAACTAAACTCTCCAACATGAGTCTAATAACAAACTTCATGTCTAATGTGGGTTTATTCAAGAAATATGCAAATCATGTCTATGGGATCACAGGAACTTTGGGTGACCAAACAGAGCTTGACATGCTGAGGAAGCTCTACAATGGCATTGAGATGTGTAAGATTCCCTCATTTAGACAAAGAAAACTTTATGTGTTGGAGGGTTTGGTGATAGCTGAAGAAGACGAGTGGGTCAGGACCGTCTGTAATGTTGTTAAACATCAAGTGACCTCCACGGTTTATCGAGGTCCACGAGCAGCTCTTATCATCTGTGAAACCATCAATCGTGCAGTTAACTTTCACAAGACTCTTGCAGACACCATTTCAAAAGACAAACTAAAACTCTATGTGAATAACAACATGGATAACTCTACAATAATAGATAACATAGTCCAAGCGGGGGACGTCATCATTGCAACTAATCTAGCAGGTCGAGGTACAGACCTAAAGGTCAGTGAAAGTGTAAATGAGGCTGGAGGTCTGTTTGTGGTGCAAACCTTCTTACCTCTGAACGTCCGTGTCGAACAGCAAGCATTTGGACGAACGGCTCGTCAAGGGAGTCCAGGATCTGCTCAACTCATCATGTGCGCCAGTCATTTCTCTGATTTAGTCAAACTAGTGATGGGTGAAAACACATATCTCATCGACTTACTCAGCCATCTGAATAGTTTAATACAGAAATCACACAGTCTCAAAGAGATTCTATTTGAGGAAACTGTTAATTACTTCCTGGAAAATCACAGCTCTCAGACTCATGATGCAATGGTTTCTGCTCTGATAGACCTCCTAACAATAAATTCATTCCCATCACAGGAAAGCAATCTGGAAAAGGCAAAAGACGCCAGAAATATTCTGGTGAACATTAGACTCTCTGGGTTTCTTGAAAAAGACATTCCAGAAATCATGAATAAGGAAGAGTTTTTTTCTGTTTATCTTGACATTTTGGATGGCGTTTATGAAGATGATGTTTTTTCAGACCAGCGTGATGTAATCGTGTCCTCTCTTCATGAGTGCTGGGGTTTGTGGCTCTTGATGAACCTCAGTGAGGAAAAGCCCACTGAGATGATGAAGGAACAGCTGAAGCTGGACTTGTCGAATGCAAAGCGAAAACTTTTGTGCAAACAGTCCCCATCCTCCATGGTCTACTATTACATCAGGTCTGGAAACAATCTCCGTGAGAAGGGCAGCCTTACTGAAAGCATTGAGATGTTCACCAAAGCTTTGGGGGACGGTATTTGCAGGGAGATTATTCCTCTCTATAATCGTGCATTGGCCACTATTAAGAAGAAAGACATTGACTATATTGCACGAGCATTGGCTGACCTGCAAAGGGCTGACATGGCAATAGATTCATACAAGTCTCAACTCGCACAGATTCTGACATATGTGAAGTCATCAAGTCAAGAGCCAAAAGTGGACGGGGATACTTTGCTCTCCAAACAGTTTAGAGTGAAGTATATGATTGTAGATCTACTCAAGATGAACATTCAAGACTCTGTAATAAAGTTGAAGAGGGTTGAAAGCAGAGGAGGAAATGTGAGACTCAGACCTTCTTGCCTCTGAACGTCCGTGTCGAACAGCAAGCATTTGGACGAACGGCTCGTCAAGGGAGTCCAGGATCTGCTCAACTCATCATGTGCGCCAGTCATTTCTCTGATTTAGTCAAACTAGTGATGGGTGAAAACACATATCTCATCGACTTACTCAGCCATCTGAATAGTTTAATACAGAAATCACACAGTCTCAAAGAGATTCTATTTGAGGAAACTGTTAATTACTTCCTGGAAAATCACAGCTCTCAGACTCATGATGCAATGGTTTCTGCTCTGATAGACCTCCTAACAATAAATTCATTCCCATCACAGGAAAGCAATCTGGAAAAGGCAAAAGACGCCAGAAATATTCTGGTGAACATTAGACTCTCTGGGTTTCTTGAAAAAGACATTCCAGAAATCATGAATAAGGAAGAGTTTTTTTCTGTTTATCTTGACATTTTGGATGGCGTTTATGAAGATGATGTTTTTTCAGACCAGCGTGATGTAATCGTGTCCTCTCTTCATGAGTGCTGGGGTTTGTGGCTCTTGATGAACCTCAGTGAGGAAAAGCCCACTGAGATGATGAAGGAACAGCTGAAGGTGGATTTGTTGAGTGCAAAGCAGAAACTTTTCAATAAACAATCCCCATCCACCATGGTCTACTATTACATCAGGTCTGGGAACAATCTCCGTGAGAAGGGACACCTTACTGAAAGCATTGAGATGTACACAAAAGCTCTGAAGGATGGCACATCTGGGGAGATTATTCCTCTCTATAATCGTGCACTGGCCACTATTATGAAGAAAGACATTGGTCATATCACTCAAGCACTGGCTGATCTGGAAAAGGCTAACAAGGCAATAGTTTCATATAGGTCATATCTGGCATGGATTCTGACTCGGATTCAATTATCAAGTCATGAGCCAAAAACAGAAGGCGATACTTTGGTCACAAAGCAGTTTCAAATTAAGTTTATGATTGTAGATCTACTCAAGATGAACATTCAGGATGCTGTAATGAAGTTGAAGAGAGCTGAAAGCATAGGAGGAGATGTGAGCCTGACTGAAAAACACCCACTTTTTCTGGTTGCGCACATTATGCTTAGATATCCTAGACTCCTGAATAATCTTATGATGGAGCTTATACATACCATGTCATTGGGTCTTGATGAAGTTTTTTCTTTAGACACCATGTTTTCTGCCAGTGGCCTTTTGTCAAAAGTATTAAAATTTGTGAATAACACATTTCTCAAAGATCCCTAAACAAACAAGGTGCACTGTCAGTTTTACATGAGCATTAAACAAATCTCTATTATGCATATATCTAATGTATTTGTCCTAAGAATGGTTCTAATCACACATACATGAATTCTTCCTGATGACACATTTCATACTTTCATACTCATTTCATACTAATTTTGAGAAGGATATTTTTTTTAAGTTAGAACTGCAAATTATGAAAGACTTTGTAAATGTTGACAAAAAAGTAAATACTTTGTTTTTAGTGCTGACAATTGAAAGATATTTTGTTGTATATTTATGTAAATAACTTATTTTTGATCATCTGCTACATGCATGATCTACATGTAAATGCACAGATTCATATTCTGCATGTAATGGACTTATATGAAAAACAAGGACATTTTAAAGGGATAGTTCACCCTAAAGTGTAAATTCTGTCATCATTTACTCACTCTCATGTCATTCCATACCTGTATCACTTTCTTTATTCTGCTGAACACAAAATAAGATATTTTATATTTTAACATGATGGAAAGTAAATCATGTAGAATTGTCAATTTTGGATGAACTGTTCCTTTGAGAAGATCAAGAGTCACATTTCTTTGTGTTAATAGACTGGTGATACTTAAAAAATCATGGTAACATTTATTTATTAGCATGGTCAAACTGTGAATAAAATAAGCAGACAATTCTAACCTGAATTGAATATTTATGCAGGCCAATTAGTTTTTTGCCTCTTCATATTCTAAACACCCTCAGATGTCTGATGAGATGGGAAAAAAAAGGTTTGTATAATTGGTGCAATTAGTACAATTAGTGTACAACTAATTCACAATAGGGGTGACCTTGAATAGTCGACGATTCGATGCTTCGATAGGAGGAGCCTGATTCGACTACCAAACTCACAGTCAAATATTCACGGGGTGTTATGATCATGCCATTTTGGCTATATGGGGGTGCTCAAATGTCTGATTTCACACAGAACTACCGGTTTTCTCCCAATTAGTTAATATACATCCTATTAAGATAATGCTGTAAATAAGAATCTGAAAAGAAAGAAGCTTCAAATAAATATTTTAACGTGCGTGAATAAATCCAACCACCCCTAAATATTTAAGTTTCACTTTCCATAATCCGTAACCGAAAGAGGAGCATCTTGGCGGCAGGGATTTCAAACTTTAACAAGACTCAATCTGACACAGGCAGAGTGAAAGACTGGATTTTTTTTCCATCAGGTAGGGTATATGTGATTTCAATAAATTTCAGCCATTTATATATAGAGTATATATATATATATATATATATACATATATACATATATATACATATTATATGCATCTAGTATAAGATGCATTTGGTTGAGTCAAGCGCTTCACTGTAGTACTATGGTAAATATCTCTTCAGCGTGCAGCGCGATCCGGACAAACAACAATGCAGAATATTAATAACTATGACAGGGATTTTCATACACATAACATTATAATGAGAGCACTATTATAATAAAACACAGTGAATTTTATTTAGTTTAGTTTAGTTGCCGTGTTTCTGCACGCTGTTGCGTGAAGAACGCATCCACAAAAGGAGTTCATTCAGAGCCGCGCAGACACGTTCATGCGCGTTCGGGACCTTTTTGCACATAATGCACAGTAGAAATTGACTTTTCTACTAATTAATTCATGGGAAGACCTTTCTTTGAATGAACACATATATCCTTTAGGTCATGGTGTATGTTGTCTTTGAGATTTTATACTGTTTTATGCAGGCTTATGATGGAAACACTCATGTTCACCATGTTTAGTATCTATGAATTCACCTTCTGATGATCTAAACGAGCGTGTATATTATATGTTGGTACATAAATATTTTTAATTAATTATAACTAGTTATGATTAATTATTCATATTTCCCCATGAGCTGATTTGCTACAGTCCTCTAGGGGTCGCTATGGGGAACACCTTCAGTGTGTCTGAAGCATATATCTAAAAACGACAATAACATTGAAACACGGAAACATGGGCTCTGAGGCTTTACCGTGGACTTTACACATATGGGAACCACTTAGGCCTCTACATATGGAACCCAGCCCTCTACCGGTTCTCACGGATTCGGCGAATGAGGGCCTGGCACCGGACATTCCACCACGTCTGGCTGCCGAGGAGACAGAGGAGCTCGACAAGGCCTACAGTATGGACACTCTGGAGTAGTTTTAGCAAGCCGACACTAAACCGGGGCCTCTCAGTGCCTCTACCTGTTTGAGGTGAGAACACAGGAGGATACCGGCTCCACACGAAGGGTATAGAATCTAGCAAATATGTTGGGGGTCGCCCAGCCCGCAGCTCTACAAATATCTGTCAGCGAGGAGCCACGAGCTAGTGCCCAGGAGGATGCAACACTCCTAGTAGAGTGAGCTCGCAACCTGAGCGGGCAGGGCACACCCTGTGCCTGATAAGTCAGGGTGATGGCATCCACAATCCAGCAGGACATCCTCTGCTTAGAGGAGGAGCCACGAGCTAGTGCCCAGGAGGATGCAACACTCCTAGTAGAGTGAGCTCGCAACCTGAGCGGGCAGGGCACACCCTGTGCCTGATAAGTCAGGGTGATGGCATCCACAATCCAGTGGGCCATCCTCTGCTTAGAGACGGCATTCCCCTTCTGCTGGCCTCCGTAACAGACAAAGAGATGGTCTGTGGTCCTAAAGCTTTGTGTCCGGTTTACGTAGCATCTCAAGGCTCGGACAGGACAGAGCAAAGCTAGGGCTAGGTCTGCCTTCTCCGGGGACAGTGCTTGCAGGCTCACCACCTGATCCCTGAAGGGAGTACTGGGAACCTTGGGCACATAGCCGGGCCGGGGCCTCAGAATTACCTGGGAGTCAGCCGGCCCAAACTCTAGGCACGAATCATCGACCGAAAAATAAATAAACTTGCCTTGCCTTGCCTTACAGTAATACTCTGAATACTTTCAGACTTTCAAAATCCTTCATCCCTTGAATTAAGATTATAATAATTTAATTGTAAAGCACAGCCACTACAAAATTGGACTTTAGCAGCTCTTTTTACTTTGAGATCATTCTGAGGATAAAGGGTTAGTTAGTGAAAATTCTGTCATTAATTACTCACCCTAATGTCATTCCACAGCCCTTAGACCTCTGTTCATCTTCAGAACACAAATTAAGATATTTTTGATCAAATCCGATGGCTCAGAGAGGCCTCTATTGACAACAACGCCACCCAAACTCTCAAGATCCATAAAGGTACTAAAGAAGTCGTTAAAACAGTCGACGTGACTACAGTGGTTCTACAAAAATTTTTCTTCCGTGTTCTACGTCCGAACGCCGGCTCATTATTGGCCAAAGCTGCATATGTGAGCAGCGCGACGCATGCGTGTGATGCCGATGCAGGAGCCATCCAATAATGAGCTGGCGTTCGGGCATAGAACACGGAAGCGCTGGACGTAAACAATGTATGAGAATGACACAGAAGAGAAGAGTTTGTTAAATAAAGTCATGATATTTGTTTTGTTTTTGAGGACACAAAAAGTATTATCGTCGCTTCATAAAATTATTGTAGAACCACTGTAGTCACGTCGACTGTTTTGACAATGCCTTTAGTACCTTTATGGATCTTGAGAGTTTGGGTGGTATTGAGTCATTGGATTTGATCAAAGTATTTTAATTTGTGTTCTGAAGAACGAAGAACGAATGTCTTAGGGGTGTGGAATGATGTGAGGGTGAGTAATTAATGACATAATTTTCATTTTTGGGTGAACTAACCCTTTAACACTCGCTTG